TTAAATTAACCCAGCCTACCATTTGTTCCATACTGTACATAATTTGTTGCTTCTCTTTTAGTACTCCTTGAAAGACAAGCTTTGGAAATAAATATACACTTGGCAAGTCTGAAAGACAGGACTTCAGCAAGCACTGCAGGCTAACTGGAATTCCACAGCAGACTATTTGCTTCCTCTTTCAGACACAGACCAAGAAAAGAGGAAAAGAAAAAACAAACCCCATACTAGTAGAAATACCCATCCAGATTAACTTGCAGCTGGAGCCAAAAGGTTTTATCATGTTAGTTGTATCAACATTTAAACAGAAATATTTACTGAGAGCTGGAGAATCCAAAAGCACATTCCTGGTTTACCTTCTTAATTATTTGCTTTTCCATTTCCAAACTTTCAACCATCTGCAGCTCTGATGTCTCCCAGCAAACCCACATTACCACAGCCTGGTCTGGTTGATTATTAGGTACACTTGGTCTCCCAGCCCAGTGGAGCCTAACTACTTAGCAGAATACTTTGCTCATCTGTCAGATCCTTTTTACACAGAAATCTGCTTTATTCAAGGCATTTAGATGGGAAATAATAGCATTATTTCACAGGACTTGATGACAGTCTGCAATTTCCTATCTCCAGGCTCCTTCTTGCTTTAAGATACAGGTGTCAGCCCACAGGGGAGAGGGGTTCTGATCTCTAAGAAGTTTGTGCTAAGAGGGGTAGGAAGATGTGCAGCAAGAGGAAGGTTTCAGCTAAGACAAAGTTCTAGCCAAAGCAGTCAGCTGCAAGAACCTTTATTATGACTAATAGATGTGGATGTCCCAACAGCCAGAAACAAGCTCTCAGCGTGTGGCCTGATCACTCCTGACACCCAGGTTGCTTCATGTGAAACTGTTCAGAAAGAGAGAAATGGTGCAACTGGGATTACAGACTCCTTCCAATGACATCCTGGAATATAAATCAGCTTGAGATGATCAGCCACGACACAGGCAATCAGGCTCTATGCTCATCAAAGTGCTACCTAGAGAAAAAACTGGTTATTATTAAATTAGAGTTTCTATTGATACAGAGGAAAACTGACACATATTTAGCTTTTTGTCTGGGTGGAAATGCACCTTGGCAAAGAAACTCAAAGAAATTTGTGTGCACGGTACATTTCCTTGGGCAGCTCATATTTTTTGGTAGTTTATTCCAGAGCACGAGCTAGCAACCAGAAACTGTTTTCCCCCAAATTCTTGCCACAAGGAACACCAGAAAGGGTTTTGCAGGTGGAAGGACCAAAATTTGTGTCCCTGCAGGTGCAGAACTGAGTAACAGGCATGAATAAAGGGAGGTGATTTCTAAGCAGATGTTTGTACTTAAAACATACAAATCAAGATGCTTTACAACATAAGAGATGTACTTTAAGATAAGAGACATACTTTACTGAAGTTTCTATGGATGGAGTTAGCCTAGAGATAAGTCTAGTGTACCAATTTTAATTAATTTTAGACTAATGAATAAGTTTGTTAAGGACTTTTTTAATGCAACCTTTATTTTAGGAAGTGCTAAAGACTGCTACAGAACAGAAATGTGCAAGTATCAGAGACAAAGTGCAAGAGGACACTTCTCTTATTATTCTGCATAGAAAATCTCCACTAATATAAATTGTCAAATCACATTATTTGACAGAATAAAAAAATGAGCTTTTCAATATCATCTCAGCCTTGTTATTTCTGATGACTTTCTTTATTAAATTTATCATTAGCTATTTTTATCTATGAAACCAGCTGTGTTTATGGCATTACTCTCTGATGTAGTATTTATTTGGGTTTCTTATTCTAATTTGGTTTAAGTGTAATTTAAGACCTCATGAACAGCACCCAAACATTTAATTATCTATTTGCCCTGTTTCTCTTTTGCTATGCATGGAATTCATGCATTGTTGTCTTCTGCAACTATCACCTCCTATATACTCTGGAACTACCCTTAAAGTTTGGTCTGATTTTCATTTTTCCTTGTGAGAGCCTATTATTTAGTTATTAAGTAGCTAATAGCAAACGAGAGATGCATTTTTCATCTGCTTGACAGTCATTAGCCCATGTTAAAAGCCCAGAGATATTTAGTAGTAAATAACTAAGGATATTTTAATAAGTGGTTACAAACCTTAATGCTCTGCTGTCTAACAGCTACGTGTCTGCCTGGCACATATATCCAATTCCCTGCTCTCTCTGCCAGCTTGCAGTGACTATCTTTTTAACCTAAACAGCATGAAATAGCATTTAGATGGTATCTCAGATGAACTGTTTCTCTGTGCTCCAATGCTTTTTTCCAGATAAAAATCCAGCTCTCTGAGGTAGTTACTCACTCCATGTCCTTTTCTTGCCACATGGGTATTTCTTTATTGGCCAGCTTGCCAGCAGGACAGGTAAGAATTAACCTGTCCTTTCTGTATGCTTGTTTGCACAATAAATCACAAATAATCCAGATACTCACTCAAGTGATACTATTCTGATTGTTTACCTTTAGGTGTCCAAATTTTTAGCCAGGAACTAATACTACCAAAACACTACCAAAAACCTTGACAAACTGGGGGACTGGTTCAGAGGTCACCAGCTCTGTAGCTGCTTTCTGCCTTGGTTAAGCTGTCTCCTTCCATTTGCACCCCCAGCTGGAGCTCTGTGGGTGCACACTCTGTTTAATTACACAGTGATGGCATGCACGAGGCAGCAGGCACTGTCAAAACCTGAAGGCAGGCAGTCCCTGAGGACACAGTTTGCTGTTTCTACTGAATGGCTTTTGCTTCTCACCTAGGTCAGTATTTTTGCTGTTGCCACTCAACGAGTTTTCTGTACAGATCTTTTCCAATGAGCTCAAGCCACTGCCAGCTTTCTCCTTCTAGCCCTGTGTTTTCATGTTGACTTGAGTACTTATCTGCATACAGTAGTCTTACCACTGCTTTTATTTGTGCCAGCAAAGTTTTTAATATTTCAGCTCCTAGCTGCCTCCCTGACAAACACACAGGTCTTGAAAGAAAAAATGTTGAGAGAAGACCCACTGTTCTTCTCAAATGAATTCTACAAGAGAAACATCAGGAAAAATGCCTAGTTAAGTCACTTCATAAAGAAAAAAAGCTGCATCAGATCTCCTCTGACCCTTCTCCTCACCAGCACTTCAGGAGTTCACCTTGTTCAGCATGGTATTTCTCCCCAATTAGACTTCAGGCCTCCAGAAAGGATACCAAAGTGGCAGGGGTACCATGTGAAGTTGGGATTATTCTTATGCCCTTGCTCAGCACATGCAGCCCCTGGGTACATACATACAGCAGCTATAAAATTTTCCATGATCTCCTGGAGCAGGTAAGAAGAGCTGGGCATGAGATCTTTTGCTTAACAGAGAAGTCCTCCAGTAGAGTTGAGGATCACAGTAAAATCAGGACAGAGCATTTTTCTCAGTATTGGGGTGGTTTTTGTCCAGGGTTGTACTTTGGGTCCAGAGTTAGTACGGATGCAAATCCAGGAGGAATTAACACAGATCCATCTACTCTGATCTTGTCTCTCTTGTGACTTTCAAAACATTGGGGGCTGGATTCCAAACATAATCCAGCTTTATACACATCATTCTCCCTTTCTTTGGCTAATAATATGCCACTTCCACTCTGAGCTCCTGCATCCTGATGACCATAGGTATTAATCCTTGAAGTACTTCAGCTAATAAGCCCCAAATCCTTAAACTGTTTATAAGCAGGTAATTGGTTCCTTCATAAAATGCTTCCCTCTTTGGGCTCTGCTCACAGCTGCTTTTGGAGAAAGTTACAGGAGAGATTAAAAGAAGAAAAAAAGAAAACCCAAACAGCCTCTTTGTTTTAGATGGGAGATGTTCTTTCTCTGGAAAGGATGCTCCCTGGCCAATTATAAACCAGAACATTTTACTGAGTTAAAGGTTTCTACATTTGGCCACATGTATTTTTCTTTAGAAATGCAGCAACAATGGATCCACCACGAAAGCCAGCCAGACATGGGACTGCCACTGCCCACTTCAGGTGGAAATTCTCTTTTATTAGAGACTGCAGAGCATGTGGGTGGGCAGGAGGGAGCAGGGTGGGGAGGTTTAGTCCCTGGCTGTCATTCTTGAGGCGTGAGCACAATGCTGCAATCTGTGGAACGCAGCACGGAGAGGATGAAGAATGCCCCCCCTCCCTTGGGGAAATCAGGCTGATGGTGCCAGGAGCTGTGATTTGTCTCTCCAGGAATGTTGCCACCTGCAGCAATTAAACTTCCTCTATCATATGATTTAAACAAGAGGATATTTTTCCCCAGAAACTGCCAGTTCATTGTTTGCTCCAAGTGCCTCTGACAGGCAAGAAAATGAATGCAACGAGGAGTCCCTAAAACGGGGCAGTGTGGCTGTCCTGAGAGCAGGTGAGGGATGCTGTGCACAGCTTGACAAAATAAAGTGAGCCTGACAACTCCATCATCAGTTCCCCAGACATCTCCATCTACCAGTGTTAAGGAAGCTGAAACCATGTCTAATCTCTATCCTACCATCCACCTGCACTGCCTTTGTTGGACAGGAAACAAAGTGCATGCATGAAACCAGGGCTGGACACATTTCATCATTTCACATACCATGAGCAGACCTCCCAACAAACTCCAGTGGCTCCTGTTACATATCAGAGGACAAGAGAACCACTATCTAGCCATGGATTTATTTTCTTTTTCTCCAGTCTCTTTTAAAGCCATTTAAAGTTTCTTTAGAAACAAAACAAATCCTTTCTGTCAACAGAAACTCCTGCTTGGACATGCTTCACCTGTTATTTTTTATGAATGTGCACAATGGAAGAATAACAGCTTTCACAGTTAAGAAAACAGTCACACAGATCACACTTCACCCACAAAAGGTCAGTGAATGCAACGTGCTGCATGTTAAATACACACCAGAGGGATATGTTCCCTTGAGCACACTGTGACAGGGAGTGGGGAGTGTTTTAGGAACACATTCTCTATCTTTTCAAGACACCTTTGCAAAGATCTTACCTGTTCAGTGATGAAGGAGCTTGAAAAAGTGACAGCTGACCAGAAGAAGATCCCACAGCTGAGAATGATCTTTCTGTTGAAACGGTCACCAAGGTAACCAAAGATAGGCGCCGCCACCATGAAACTACAGATGAAAACTGCAAAGGATGGAAAAAGGAAAGAAATGTTTAATAAACACCAGGCCAAGAACATGAAAACTAATTTTTCTGCAAGCCAAATCCTCTAGAGAGCAGTTCCATTTAATTAGACTTTCTGCAGCCCTGCCTTACGAAGTTGTGCAGTCTGATAGGTTTTCAGAAGTCAGTGTTTCCTTAATCAAACACATTTTTCATTCCCAGGGAAACTTCAGACAAGTGAGCTCGTATTCTGTTTGAAAGCACCGGCCCCTCTCAGTCTGCTGTGAGGTCAGAATCCAGGGATAGACAAAACCAGGACAGAATAAATTAAGAGCATCCGCCTAAAAGTCACTGAGAAGGTGAAGTGAAGGTTGGAAGGAATTTCAAGCACACAGAGAGGAAAGCAGGGGCTCCTTGTTGGCTCTTGCAGCAGAGATAGGCCACAAAAACTGAAGTTCTTTCAGTAGTATTTTAAGGTAACCATGAAACATTGGGGAAAACCAGTAAACACTATTATCCTACTGGCACCAGCCCCATAGTTGGACAGGAACCTGCTGTTTCCTCATCAGGTTCCTTCACCAGCACTGAATTTCTACTTGAACCCATCACTGAGCAACAGTTTCACTAAGAGTTTTACCCTAGAATCCCCTAACAGGTCAAGAATGTCCTCATCTGAAAGACTAAAGTTCACCTTTCCCCTTTGCTACTGCCATGTAGGGAAGAGGTTATTGGTAGAATAGAATCTTATCGACTCCAGAGTTCACCCCTCCAGCCTAGCTCAGAACAACCTGGCCAGGGATGCTTCTGGAAACACCCGAAACGAGGCACTCACACCATAGTCATGATTCATTTACAGCTTGGCAGAAACTGCCAGGTTTTGAGCTGATTTATACCCAGGTTTTGTCTGACCCCATCACAGATTTGGATGACAATAACTACATTGATTTTACCACCAGGGAAAAAGGATTTTTTTTACTTTCACTGACTGTCTCGGGTTCAGCAAATCCAGAAGGATCTGGGTGGGGGACCAGAATACCTGGAGATCCCTCTTAGTCACAGAGTTATGACTCTTATTAAGTTTTGGGTAGTTCTTGGAAGGCAGGGTGGGGCTGTTGGCATTGCCTAACCCCAGCCATACACTTTTCATTGTATAAGAGGGGATAGGGGGGATAGAGTGGGAAAAAAAAAGGCAGGAGCAGAGAACACCCCCCCCATTGGTTGGAATATGCACATAAAATTAAAGTGGATAAGATCCAAATTATTAATTTTACATGGCTGATGATATATGACAGCTCAAAAACATGCAGAATGCTGAACTCTGAAACGATGTGAAGGTCGCTTCTTTTTTAGTATATTAAGATGTCAAAGCTGTTTTATAAATAATACATATCTAGCTGCATCTATATTTTGTGAGCCACATGATTGCGTGTATATCAGTTTTGCCCTGTGATATTTGATCAGAATTACAGATTTACTCTTTTTATATTTTGAGTAAAATAAATGGAGATAATAAAGAAATGTTTAGACATGAAAAGAAGCACACGCAACATTCTGCCAGGCACATTTCAATATGTGAATGATGTTCTGCTAAGCTAGCACAAAACCCTACTGATAGACAGAATGCTTAGTGACAGAGTCCCAGCATGGGGGGGGTTGGGAAGGACCTCTGGAGATCATCTCATCCAACCCCTCTGCTCCAGCAGCTCACCCACAGCAGGGTGCCCAGGGTCACAGCCAGGAGGGTTTGGGATCTCTCCAGAGCAGGAGACTCCACAGCCTCTCTGGGCAGCTGCTCCAGGCTCGGCCACCCTCACAGCAAATACCTTTTCCTTATGCATCTATCCCAAAATCCTCGTGCAAAAAAACCACCCTGTTGACTACAAGCACTTACTCAGGGTTTTCATCTCTTGTGATTTACAGAGAAGCTGCACAGCTAGTCTGTGAAACTCTACAGCTTAGCACTCTAGTCCCAGAAAACCCATCCCTGGGCCAGTCTGTGGGGCTGACAGCTTTTGGGAAGAGGTGGCCACGCTGCTGCCCCTTCCCAGCCTGGGCTGCTGCCCCTTCCCAGCCTGGACTGCTGCCCCTTCCCAGCCCAGGCTGCTGCCCCCTCCCCGACCGGGCTGC